ACCACCTACCTGGCAGAGTTAAGGAGGTATTTCAAGTGCCTAGCATAGTACATGAAACAGTAAGGACTCAAGTTGCTTTCCTTTGAAACCTAACCCTCTAAAAATTGTAAAACATGATCAGTTATCTATTTAAAAGAAATCTACTGTGGTGAATACTTCTGTAAAGAAGCTCACAAAAGGAAATTACATATACCTTGTTTTGTCATCAAGATTCAATATACTTTTCCAAATAAAACTGCTCTAGTCAAGACCAATATAAATGACACAAAATAACATTAAAAACGTCTTCAGATAACAACATAATGAGTAAACATGGCATATCAGGATATACAAATGTTGCATTAATAGAAGAAGGCTGAATATTGTCTGCTCTCATTACTGCTTTTCCTTTGGTTCAACCAAAAATGAAATTTACCAAAGGGTGGGCATAGTATGTGATGACCATTTGCAGACAAAAGATCACTTTGCTTCTTATTACTTAACAGCTGTGCTGCTGGAAGACTGGAAGTTCATGGTGACCTCAGAGGGGGAGAGAAGCAAGACAATGAAATGGTTTCTTCCTACCCTCACACTCCTGCCAAACTCTGATCTGATCTCTCCTCATTAGGTCTATCACACAGAGGTTCTGGGAAGAGGGAAAAATACAAAGGTTAGAAAATAAATTTACAAAATAGCACCTGTGGTGTAGTAAATTACACAGCGTGGCTTTTCTAGCTGTCAGTCTTTGTAAACCAAATGGCAGAATTTTCCATGAGCAACTGAGTAGCTCCTGATTGTTAAAGTTATCCACAGGGGGCATTTCTGATGAGAGTGGCACAGAGCAATCTTCTGGGAAGTACTCTCTCTCTCAGCTATATAGAATTCTGATGTTGGGATTAGTTAGCTTGGCCACTCTGCCATGCTCAAAAGGAGCCCTCCTACAGTCAGAAGGAGTGTCTCTCTGACTGCTGGCTGAGACGGGCATGCTGCCAAGAGAAAGGCACTCCTGAGAGAGACACACTTGCTGAGGGAGAGATACGAGAGATACACACTGCTGAGAGAGTGATGTGCTACTCAGACTGCCAGCTGCTGAGTGAGATGGCCAGCTGCGGGAGAAAGAGTGCATTTCTGAACTTGAATTGTAGCCTGTTGCTTCCCTAATAAACCCCATAATCTATGAGTTGTGTGTGGCCACTGCAGTAAATTATCAAATCCAGCAGAGAGGTGGTGGGTACTACAGGAGGAATAGTTGGTTGAAAGGGCTGGAGGGAGGCAGCATGTCTGGCCTCGTAGGAATAAGCCTTGGGCTACTGATGGTGATTCTGTCTTCCTCTTGTGGGGTTAGAGGTCAGAAGATGCGGCCTCCCTGCTCCTTTGGCAGCACCCTAAGAACAAAAGTAAAATAAATCTTTTATATATCCTCCCCTACAAGTCAAGGAAAATTCTGCATGCCTGACACTGTGCCCAATGTGTTACATGAACTCTCAATCTTGACAACAATCCTATGTGGTAGGTATTAGCATTATCCCCACTTTACAGATGGTGAAACTGAGGCTTAGAAAGACTGAGAAAATTGCCCACTGTTGCACAGCTAGTAAGTGGCACAGAGCCAAGAGTCTTGACTCCAAAATCCATACTATTTACCCACTAATTCACTACTTATTACTGTAGTGAAGAGGAAAGGGTATTATTTGATTCCAGACTCGGCTTCACCCCTTGGGCAAATCACTTGACCTTGCTGAGCAGTTTCTCATCTGTAAATGAGGGCAATGACAGCAGCCTGGCCTTCTGCATAATACCTAGCAATGCTAAAAGAGTTCACGTATGTGCACACATAATGTTAAAACTATAAGACCGTTTGCTGATTTAGGCCTCCATCCATACATTCTCATCCTTACAAATGGTTTATGTCCCTAAAAATAAATTTAATAGTTGTTGTTGTTGTTATATGCCGTCGAGTCAAACCGGACTCATAGCGACCCCTCCTTGGGTTTCCGAGGCAGTATCACTACGGAAGTAGGATTGCCCAACCTTCCTTCCGAGGAGTGGCTGGGGGGTTTGAACCGCCAGCCGTCTGGTTAGCAGGCAAGTGTCTTAGACACTACGCTACCAGAGCTCCTTAAATTTAATAGTAGTTAGATAATTTTTAACAGTCCCCAGCAAAATACAAAATGAACATTATGAGATAAGTTCGAGAGGCATTTAAGACATTATATGAATGAGCCTGATGTTCAAAAAGATGCCTGGAGTACTAGATAACGAATTTCATTCCATCATTTTCAACCAGTGCAATCCAACAGAACTTTCTGCCATGAGGGCAACGTTCCAGATCTGCACTGTCCAATACACCAGTCACCAGCCACAATGGCTACTGAGCACTTGAAATGAGGCTACTGAGATGGGGGAATGGAATTCATTTTAATTAATTTAAATAGCCACATGGGGCTAGTGGCTACCATACTAGAGTAGTTTTAGACAATTCTTAGAGGGAACCCTGAAAAGGTACTGTAATGTTAACTTTAGAAGAAAACTGTCCCCCAGGAGGCCATTCAAATGGATGTACTTAAGAAACAATGCCATACAACCAGGAAGCAATAAAGTCCATCTGGAATTGTTCCTCAATTCAAGCTGAATAATACAGCCTAACCCTGACAAGTCACTACTCTTAATTCCTTCAATATATTTTAAGTAACAACTCAACATTATTTCTGCTCCCTAAAATAGAAGGCATAGGTTAAATCAGAATTGAGGGTTTTTTTTTTCAAGTCGGGGACCCAGAGGAAATAAAAAATTAAGGGCTATAAGAGGTGCTCTGGTGGTGTAGTGCCTAAGGCATTTGACTGCTAACCAGAAGGCTGGCGGTTCAAACCCACCAGCCACTCCTCGGAAGATGGGGCAATCTACATCCGTAGTGATACTGCCTTGGAAACGCAAGGAGGGGGTCCGCTGTGAGTTGGGACAGACTCAATGGCAGTGAGTTTGGTTTGGTCATAAGGAAGTAACTTGAAACTACTGTTTGCAGACAGAAGATTTGCACCCAATTTTTTAAAAATGAAAACTCAAAAACTAATGCTTAACCATGTATTTGGGGGCTTATCAGTGGTACAAAAGGTTAACAAGCTAAGTTGTTAACCAACAGGTTGGAGGTTCAAGCCTACCCACAGGTGCCTTGAAAGAAAGATCTGGCAATACACTTCTAAAATATCAGCCATTGCAAACCCTATGGAGCGATCATACCCTGATGCATATGGGGTCAGCAGTCAGAATTGAATGGGCAGCAACTGTTTCAACCATGTATATCCAGTCCATGTCATCAACTACTTAAATGAGAAGAAGAAATCAAAAGGAAAAAGATGCTCAGAAATGCAAGAGCAAAGAAGAGAGTTTGAGGTCAGTATTCAAATATGAGAAGAAATATAAGTAGGTTCTGGCTATTCATATCCAGCTGTTACCAGAGCTCTGAGCCTCAAAGGGTCATTGCCTCTTATCTTGGTGGTTTAAAATGCTAGTTGATTAAACCTCTAATCAACTAATTCAACTTCTTTTTGTCCTTACCCCAGTGGCTTAACAGAGAATTTATGTCCTGAGTTACAGCGGCTTTTTGTCAGAGTGCTCCCCTGGGGAAACAAGGAAATCAACACTGGGATTGGCACCCCACTCTCTGGGAATAAGTGAAGTGTCCAAAGTGACAATGTTTCATCTCTAAAGTCCATTTGGCTCACAGCTTCTTTTTCAGTCCTGCAAGTACTGGCTCTTTCTTTCAGAGCAAAGAGACAGAGAAAAAGACAGAGAGGTAATGGAGAAGTAACACTCTCATGCAGAAATGCATGAAAATATCTGACCTCAGAGATAGACCCCAAAAAGCTAATTCTTGACACTTTGATCAGGTGTAAATTAGGCCCTGTGTTCTCCCTTTGGAAGTTCATTAACCACGTTATTTCATACATGGGGGATTTTTAAGGGTATTTAAATAGGTAATATTAAATAGTCCTCAGTGATCAAGGAGGATGTTGAACAAGTTCAACTGCAAAGAAATGGAGTTTCCATCTTCCCAGCTCCCCCCCCCCAAGTTCTCTACTTGTGGGCCCTGAAAAGTCCTGTACCCTGTATGTAGCTCATTCGTTGTGCAATCTTTTTCGGAACTCCACCAACTGAACTCCAGAACAAGTGTAATGCTCCGGTTCTGAAAGAGGCCTCAATTTTCCTGTATCCTGGGAGAAGCTGAAAAGAAAACTCCTTGATGTGAGTCAAGTAAGGTAAGAGGAACTGTCCAGCCTCCCAGATTAGGAGACCAAAGGCCAGGATGTGGGAGGAGCTCAAGCTTACTCACAAATTACACACACATTCATTGTTGTTGTGTGCCCTGAAATGGATTCCGACGCGTAACGATCCTATATATAATATATGTAACAAAACATAAAATGTTTTACACAATAAGATACATATAAGAAACAAAAAGAGAAAAATCGATAAGCAAAGAAAAGAAAATAAGGCCGGATTGGGAAGACAGGTGATTACACGATGCTGCTCCCAACTCTGAAGGACCAAGGCGCTCCGGCATCACCTCCCATCCGCGGCCCCACGTGCAGCCGAGCCGGGGCCTGGGGCCAGGAGGAGCGACCCTCCCGTCCCGCTGGCCACCTGCGCAGTGCCAGGGAGCGGGGAAAGGGGGCGCCGTGCAGCCCCGACTTCTGCGCGGTTATCTTACTGCGCAACAGCCTCGCTGGCGCTGCTCGCGCGCACTTGCCCCAGGGCAGGAGGGAGCCCCCGGGACCCAAGGTAGCCCCTCAACGGCGGCGCCCAGCTTGGGGCGCACGGGGACGGCGAGGGCTTGGAGAGGACAGCCGGCGCCACGGCCCCGGCTGCACGTGGCTGTCACACCTGGCGCGCCCCCGCCTCGGATCTCTGCGCCCTCAAACCTGGCTACGCCCCCTGCCCGCACTCCCACTCCCGCCGCATGCCCCCAAACCCCAGCAGTCTCCCCCTTCCATCCCACTCATCTCGGTATCACCCTCCCTCACCTGCTCCCACAGTCGCCACCCCTAGGAGGGAAGGGAACCGGATGTTCGTACCATGGCTAAAGGTAAGCGGGGAGAGTGACGAGATGGCCCCTGAAAAAAACAGTCCGTGCATCCCTCGCGCCCAGCAGCAATTAGGGTGTTCCCCAGACTCACCTTCTGCCTTGGGCTGCGTCGCCGTCCGCCCTGTACGGCCTCAGTAGTCTCCTCAGCGCCGCCGCCTCTTCCCCGCGCTGCCTCCTGTAACCGAGTCGCCATGAGGTGACGGCAGCAGCCAAACAAGCAGCCCGACAAGGGGCACGGAACCGCAGGGCCTTGCGCCCCGCCCCTAACCCCCGCAGCCAATCGCTGCGCACCAAGATCCCCACGTGACCGGAGGAGGTTGGGCCCCATGGGGAGGGAGCCGGATGGGGGTGGGGAGTATGGAAGCCCGGGTTGAGGCTTCCGCAGGCCGAAGGGCAGACAGAGGCAGCGCGAGTCTGCGCAAACCGGGAAAAGGGACTCTGAAACGCACTACCAGTCCCAGGAGGCTGTGCGGTCAAGGCTCGCTGGCTTGGATAGGGATTGGAGCGTAGTACGGTGTCCTGGGAAGCGGAGCGCACCCACTGCGCTGCGCGTGCAGCCTCCTGGGACTTGTAGTTTTGTGGGGGCGGTGTCCCGCTACCAAAAGGTACTCATTATCCTCCTGTGGAGGGGTCCTGGTGGCGCAGTGGTTAAGCGCTTAGATGCAAACCAGGAGGTCGGCGGTTTGAACCCAGCAGCCCATCTGCTGGAGAAAGATGTGGCCGTCTGTTTCCGTTAAGGATTTACAGACTTGGAAACCCTTATGGGACAGTTCTACTTTATCCTGTGGTCACAATGTATTGAAATTCACTCGGCGACAGTGGTTTTGGTTTACTATCTTGTGGGAAAAGTTTAGAAGTAGTTCTCCGGGAAGGCGCAGGATCGGTGACAGATTGTTGGGTTTTTGTTTTTGTTGTGTTATCCGATAGGGGCCCCACTTGCTGTTCTACGTCATAGAGCTCAAATGATTTGAGGATAAAGGTAAGTACTTCGCAATGACGAAGGAGGTGTAACTGGCTTTCAGATTTTGAGGTTCTGGACTTGGCACCTGCCTGAGTCCTGCCCCGCCATCAGAGCGTACTTGTACCTGTTTCGAGCTCCTGAGGGGTGGGGCCTCGTATGATTCACCTTGGCCAGCTGTCGTGGCTGCTAGCACAGTTTTCCACTTTTAGTTGGCGACTAAACCATGTTGAATGGATCCTGCTTTCTCTGCCAGGCGTTTCGTTATTTAGATTTTTCAGCAAATTCGGTTTCTGCGTCTGATGTAACCAGATATCCAACGATGGAACTTCTGAAAGTTACAAACCCACTGCCCACTGCCTTCTAGTGATTCCAACTCATAGCGACTCTGTAGTTACAGACTCACACGAAATCCTGACATTAAAATAATTCAATATGAAAACTTCTGCTAAATCCCATACCATTAAAAAAAAAAAAAAACTTAAGAGTTGAATACAAAACAGTGGAGGCAGGCGCCAAAAACGTATGAGCATACATGAGAGTAAATTTTTTATATTACAGCAGATTCCGTCTGTGAATTTTCATTTTTTCTGTACATTTGGGAAAAGTATCGTGATTTTGTTTTATGGGCAGAACACCTTAGTCCAGCTTTTGAAATTTCACAACTAGAGCCTTGTTTAAAGAATACGTGTTAGTGGATGACGAACCCATACTCAAACTAATAAAGCTGGTGGCCTCGGCCACCAGAGTGACACTTTAAGGACAAATGTCCCAGCATGATGTAGAATAAATCTACCAGTAATTCTTCTCCTAACCTATCTAGGGAATTGAGTGTCAATCCACTGTAGTTAGTTAAATCATGGTACAATGGAATATTATGCAGCTACTAAAAGCAATAAGGGAGTTCTGGTAGCATAGTGCCTAAGGCACTTGACTGCTAACCAGAAGGCTGGCGGTTCAAACCCACCAGCCACTCCTCGGAAGGAAGATGGGGCAATCTACTTCCATAGTGATACTGCCTCGGAAACCCAAGGAGGGGTTACTATGAGTCGGGTCTGACTTGACGACACATAACAACAACAACAAAAGCAATAAGCATTTTAAATTGACCTAGAGAAACTTAATGAGCTTTAAAAAAGAACAGTTTCCATTTATGTAGAATTGCCTGTGAATATGTTTACAAAGAGCTGTGTAGAAGGATACTCATCAAAATGTTAATAATGTTTTTCCCTGGATGGTGAGATTTGTTGGTATTTTTACTTTATGATTTTATGATTTTCTGTATTGAGTATGACTAAATATCAAAAAAAATCAATAAAGACATTTGCATTAAGAAAACAAGGACTATGCAAGTGACCACAACTCGTAAGGGAAATGAAAAATATTTAATAGTATTTACTCAGAAACATTCTCATTCTATGAGATTTGGAGTGGCCACTTCTGTGAATTGACTCTCAGCCAAACAGTAGAAAGACCTGTATGCGGAACACCTACCCCAGGGAGATGCACCCACCTACCCTAGGGAGATGCACCCTTTAGATCAATCAGCCATAAGACACCAGAGGGGCAGTATTCACACAGAGGGAAAGCTGGACAGACAGGAATGCA